CACCTTCCACAACACCCTCGCAAGGTGATCCGCTTTTGTCGCCACTTGGATACAAAAGACCCGACGTCCGTGCTAGACTGACACAGACGATACACTGCCTTCAAACTGTTACAATTAGCGCAAATTGCAGGTTTTAATCTGACATGTTTGGCAGATGTGGACAATGAGGGCTGAAACGTTTGTTGTCTTCAGGTGCCACGCAGTGTCATTAAAACACAGTAGGCAAATGGAGAACCTGTCTTAGATTCTAACGGCTTTATTATCCAAGGCTCAGGTGTTACCTTGCACTGCTGATGATAGCCAGGTCCCACTAAAAAAGAAGGAGGGTTACTCAATTAGCCTACTGCTACAGTGTCTAGAGGACATAAAGGCCTGGATGGCGTGCAATTTCCTAAAACTGAATGAAGGAAAAACAGAAGTAATGGTTTTGGCAGCAGTGGTAGCACCACTGGCATCAATTCTGTAGACCTGGGTTCCTTGGCTCAGTACACCAAGCCCACCATTACGAACCTTGGCATTAAAATGGACCCTGAACTAGAATTTGAGAGTCAGATTAAATCTGTGGTAAAAACGAGCTTTTATCACCTGAGGCAGCTAGCCAAAATAAAACCTTTTCTCTCCAGACAGAAGTTTGAGACAGTAATCCACGCCTTTGTCACCACTCGGCTGGATTACTGTAACTCTCTCTACGTGGGGGTCAGTGGGTCCTCCCTCGCTCGTCTGCAGCTGGTGCAAAATGCTGCAGCAAGGCTTTTAACTGGCACATGGAAATATGACCATTTCCCCCATTTTGGCTTCGCTCCATTGGCTGCCAATACATTTTAGGATTCATTTCAAAATCCTTTTATTTGCTTTTAAATCCCTAAATGGCATGACCCCACCATATCTTTCTGAGCTGCTACACCCTTACAACTGCTCCTGAATGTGCCCAGAACCAAGTCAAAGCTCAGAGGGGGCCGTTGCTTCTCTGTAGCGGCTCCCACACTGTGGAACGATCTGCCCATGCACATCAGACAGGCATCCACACTGTCTGCGAGTGTTGCTTTTAAATTGTCTATTGTTACTTGTACTTGTTTTATGGTGTGTGAACTGAGCTGTGTTACTTTTTGTATGTTTTGTTTTGTTTATTTGACTGTACAGCACTTTGGTCTGGAGGTTTAAAGTGCTCTATAAATAAAGCTGTATTGTATTGCATTGTACCTTCCCAGCTGGCATTCATGCCTATCTCATTCAACAGGTGCTACAGGTGTATACTGACACACTCTGTCCAACACAGAGACTGACACAGGCATGACAACGACCGACATAATTCTGATTATCTTTATCACAATTACTTAACAGTATTCTGTCTTATTGTAATAGGACATTTATTTAAAAAAAATGTGTCAATCGTTTTATATAAACACACTCCCTTGCTTTGTTTTGTTTCTGCTTTGGCTGTGTCAAATAATACTAGGGAATAAAAAAAGCTTAAAGATGGATCCCTGTATAGATCAGTATGATAGTTGTACAATCTGTAATATAAATACTAAGTGACTCCAAATAAAGAATACAAAAAACACTTTCAACACAGAAAATAAAACTTCAACCCAATTCCTTATTACTGTTGAGATCTGGAAGAAAAATGAAAAACGTGCAATATAATTACATTATTTTAGTTGTGCAATCACAGTAATAATTTCCTTAAACTGCTTCTGGATCATTCTACAATTGACCAGTAGCCGACCAATGTTTCTTCACCATATAAATCTTATGGTCCTCTTTTATTTATGCTACTATTGTTGCTTGTATTACTCTTAATATTAGTGGCAGAATTTGCTGGTTATATTTATCACCAAGATATATTATGATTATGAACAGCAACCAATGCTCTTATATAACAACATTTAAATAAGACCTCGCACATTATTACACAACAACGCTCCCGAGCCTATGGAGATGGAAGGAGAGGGTGTGACGGGGGAGGACGTTGGCATACCCTGCTCAGCAGCTCTGCTTTGCATGACTCACCGTTAAAGGAAAACAGATGCTTCATGCAACCAAGCCAGGCACTCATTAACAAATCTCCCTGGGTGGCTGTTTACCCAGCATTCTTCTGTAAATCCAATTAATGTTTGTCAGACTTGGGGAGTGTCTCAGTCCAGCTGTCCTCTCCATGCAGAGGATGGTGAGCACATCCTCACTATGGAAATGTGCAGCTGTGCCATAGCAGCCCAAGTAGGCTCAGGCTGGGCAGCATAAGGCCAAACACAGCTTCCCAGCGCTGTGTGGACCAGTGGGAGGGAGCGTAGTCATACACAGCAGCGAGGATGATGCTATTTATTATGGCGCTATACGGAGACTCACATGTGCAAGCGCCATGTGACGACCCTGACAACAAGCCACAGGCTGTTCTGTACGTGAATGCATACAAACACGTCAGACAAAGAGGTGACAAGGAAGTTGGCATCATATTGGTTATAATATAATTCATACACAGTGTGTGGCAGTGTGAACCCTGTGCACTGTGACACTGATATCAGTGTGTAATTCAGCAAAGGTGAGCTCCCTCTAATTGACCGCTCTTAATTCAGGGGGTCCGGTGTCAACAAAGGACAGAGCTGTGATGAGAAACCCTATCAGGGGCAGGGTTCATCAGAATAATGGGAAGGCCCTCTCCCGCCAGGTGTATGCGTGTGCCCTGATAAACAATAACTGATAACCACATCCGATTGTTAAAATAATTCCCCCTTCCCAAAGATATAAGGAAACAAAATTGTTGTTAATTTGTGTTTTGCCACTATCAGATGTAATGACAACAAATAATATTCTGCTTATCCTCACGGCTTGCCATACTGAATCCAAATTTAATGTATTCAGGGTCCTATTTCCTCACCATACAGGTTTGAGATTTTACTGGCAGAGCATTGTTGACTCCACATCACGTTTTAGTTTAAAAGAACGATTAGAAAGTGACTATTTTTGTATCTGAGGGAATGTTAGCTATAGCTAACATGGTGGAAAAACACATTTGTCACTGCAACTGATAATTATTGATTGGCGTAGTGAAATACTGGTAAACGCAACTGGTCATCTAAAGATTCAGAGTGTATTTATATTGCATTTATATAGGGATGCAAGTAGAGCTTGATTAAAAGACCAACAGATCAACAAAATAAATATAACTGCTTTGTTGATCGATCAATGGTTACACCATACATTTTCTTGTTCCATTCGCTCCAGTAAAGTTATCAGTTTTTTTCAGTTTATGGCTGTTAAAGACATAGATTAACTGAGAAAATAATCAGCAGATGGAAAAAAACGTTCAAGACTCCTGAAAATAGGACACGCTAGCTGCATATATAGAAATCCCTAGACAATAAGCATAATCCAGCATGAATTTATATCAGTACTGCAGACCCACTACTGTAATAATATTTTGCCCTGAATCTCAGCGAGTGGACGATTACTCAGAAATAAGTCATGTTTATCTATAAAGTAAAATGAAGCACTTTATTGGAAGCCTCTGACTACTCTTTATGATATAAAAATAAGGCTGAAATGCCGAATGTGGACTTTAGCAGTGAGTCATATCGTGTAAAAGTTGCAAATATGAAAACATACTGCCTGGTAGTCTCAAGGCGTTTCACATCTTGAAGGGGTGCATCTGCTCAGAGCAGCTGCTTGCGTCAGTGCTTTATAATGACGCAAATGCGCTCTATTGATATCCTTACTTCACTTCGAGAACATTTTACTCATAGTGAAAACACACAGGTTCAAATGATGCCTCAAACGCAGCTCTTTCTGGAGTTTCTCACTGATGTTCAAAGACTAGTATCGTTTCTTTTTTGAACGTCATCAGGTTTAATAATCTGTTGGCAGTTGCATTGCTTATTAATGAGAATATAGGGGGCCTTTTAAAGAAATGCTGAGTTCAAAGCAAATACAAGCACCAGGATGGGATTAAGCACTGGAGAGAGCAGTCAACGCACCCTGCATAATGCAATATCTACATGTAACTTGGAATACTAAAGTTTGAGGTTGGTTTTGAATCTACGTTTTTCTGTCATGATGGATATTATTGCTGTTTCTCATCGGCCTCTTTTAAAGGTGTGTGTGTGTGTGTGTGTGTGTCTCTCTCTCTCTCTCTCTCTCTCTCTCTCTCTCTCTCTCTCTCTCTCTCTCTCTCTCTCTCTCTCTCTCTCTCTCTCTCTCTCTCTCTCTCTCTCTCTCTCTCTCTCTCACACAGTCTGCATCTGATGCCCCTCTTGTTCAATATTCATATATTGTGTTTCCTCTCTATTAATCTATTTCCACATCAAAGCGTCTCTGTTTGAGCAGAGGTAGCTTTAGACTGAGGTGACCAGCACAGCCCTGCATAGTGCTCCACATCAAAGGGTTTCAGTCTTTCCTGCTGCAGTGGACTGTCCTCCCTCATGTGATGTTCCGAACTGTATTCAAAGTTTAATCAACAGTAAGTACAACAGTGTCCCAAAGGAGCTCAGTGAGCGAGATCCTAGGGGCTTTGAAACACTAATCCCTTCATGTGGGAAGGGATGGGGTGAATCGGTCCACTGCTGCGTGAATGGGTCCTTTTAGGGCAGAGCTGGAGTTGTGAAACTCTCTAGGAAGAAGAGACGACGGGGCTAACCCAGGTGATGTCAGTGCATATACATACAGTATAGTGCCTTGTAATGGCTCCAGGTTGGGTATGTCTGCTCTTCCCACCTCTCTCGAATGGTTCAGTGGTGCAGGCCAACATCACAAGGTAGAGTAGGCTATGTTCCCTAATAAATCACTTCTGCTGAGTGCACACAATCTCCGAAATAACATTTGTTTAATGGCCTGGAGATCAACACAGGGTGTAGGGTTGCTTGGAGCCAAACAGAAACATGACCACCACTTAACTTATAGTAGTGAACCGGTCAGGTTGTCAAGAAAATAACTGAACTCAAGCCTATCAAAAAACGTACTAAGCACATTACTGTAGATTAGTCAGAAAGTAATAGTAATCCTCATACCTTGATCAGCAGTGGAAAGGTGCCTTTTCTCTCCTTTAGTAGCCTTTCCAGCTTAGTTTTGGAGCCAATTCTGTACAATAGAAGACATTTTAGTCAAAAATGTTTGCGCACAAGGAATTATGTTCAATATTATGGATGGAAACGTATGAATAAAAGTGTTAAATTATGTTAAGCGTATCATGCCACTGTTAAAAAGTGAACACATTTGTAAAATGCAGCCAATATTGTCCTTGCTGCCCATGACCTTGACTGAGATGAAAAGCATATTTAAAGGTGGGGTAGGTAATTTTGGAGAAACCAGCTCGAGTGCGCTAGAATTTGAAAATACACAGCCGGAACAAATCTGCCACTTCCTTACAGAGCCCCTCCTCCAACACACACAAACGCGCACATGACCAATGAGGGCACGAGATAAGTTTGTGCACAGATGGAAAGCTGACAGGCAGGTAGGCCATCCAGTTATTTTAGCCGGGCCGGCTAAAATGATTGTGCTTTTTACAGTACTACGGCTTCCACAGATTACATTTTTTTATGGATTTTTTTGTCAAAGCACTTAAGATATTCATTGCTATTGGGATGTTAAGAGCATTCCATGGAATATAACAAAAAGTGTATCTCGAGCCGGTTTCTCAAACTTACCTACCCCACCTTTAAATGTTTAGAATACTTACATTGTTGATAGAGTCACAACTGTAAGAACATTTTTCATTAGTGCAGCCTTTTGTATAAACTACACTGACACCTTCTGGGCACATGTTGGTATCATTTTTAAACACATTGAGATCCTCTGCCTAGTTACTGGAGGTGTCAAGTCAGTCTGACAGCTTTGGTGATACCAAAAGTGGATGTTTCCAACATTTTTGAATGGTAGCTACTTGACATCAAATAAAATAAAAATGTTGCTAACTAGGAAAATATGTAGGCTACTAGTTTAAATAATTATTATAGTGAAAGATACAAACACCACAACAACATTGTGTTGAAGATAAACAAACTACGAAACTTATCTTCCACATACTTACAGGAGAATTCCGCACTAACCTTTTGTCGGATGATTTGTTCGGCGCACTCATGGTGAAATAAATCAACAAGGTGGCGGTGATGAGGCAGTCACGCGCGACATGCCCAATAGTTTGTTTGAAGTCTCCGACCCGGTGCTAACACTGCCTGTGTGCTGCGGAGCGTTACCATCACCGGTTTATACAAAAACAATGGCTGTTATACTCGCCACACTAAGTACTCACTGACAATTTGATTCTGCTTTTTTTCCCTCTGACGCAGCTTTTAGGCAGGTGCTTACGTCCGTGCTAGCGCTGCTATGAGAGAGGGGAGAGGGGGAGAGAGCTAGACAAAAGGAGAGACAGGCACGAGGCACCCACTGGGCTATATACATTTTCCACATGATGTCGGTGTAGCATTGCAATAACAAAGCATTTCCTGAATGTACAAAGTTTAGTTTTACACAAGGATTTCTAACTTCCACATGCAGATGCATACTTATACAACATGTTCTCTTATATTCATATGTTAAAAAGGTTAATGCAGATCTGAATGTTGAAATTGTGGCCCTTTAGGCCTTATTTGGTTTTAAATGTATGCCCTGTGGCCTATAGCCTACTGCACCAGAAGAAAGTATGATATAGAAATAAAAAACATGGGATGGATGAAGACATCCTTTCACTGTACAGTCACCCTACTAATAATAAGCTGCATTTTTCTTGTTGTTCTGAGTTTGTATCTTTATGCTTTGTTGCACTTATTTTATGTCGCTTTGGATAAAAGCATCAGCTAAATTTAATTTAATGTATAAAAAATACTACATTTCATACTGTTGCAAACTATTTTGCACTGTAAGATCAGATGATTCAATAGATGACGCATAATACTGAATTCATATGATGTGGTTTTTTTGGAATACTATTTAGATTAACCAGAAGGAAATTTGACTTTTTAGAGGATATCCTGAAACTGTCAAAAACAAAATCCCTGATGTTTTCGGTCTTTACTTAGAATGTCTACGAATAGAGACTTAACACAGTATTCATCTCAAATTTGTTTCTACTGCTAAAAAATAATAACACTACCAGAAAAACATCACAAAACTGATTTCAACAATATGGTTTATTGAGAATAATCAAGGCAACATGACAGCACCAGTCAGATAACATTCAGACTCCACTTTAGCTCTGCACATAGAGTATGGTTAACAGCTTTTAGCTTGACCCCTCAGTCTATTATGTGACCAGCTTTTTATCCTGTTGGTATTATTATAGGCAGCAATATAAGTGAGCACCACTTGCATTTATAACAAAGACAATAGCGATTTGATCATGCAAGTAAAGTTTAATAGTAACATAGAAGATCTTTTTGACCAGTTTCAAACATCTGCTCTGTGCAAAAGCCCTTTCCCGCACTGCAACAGGGGATGAGATAGTGTAGAAAGCCAAGTATTTTTAAATAATGTTATATAATTACTTAAAATTATAAAATGTTCCAACAATCTAACTGCATTAAATTAATTTCAGGACATTAATCACAGATATAAAACATCCAGTTTTATTTTGAAGGCAAAATCAACCCCTAATCTACCTTTCAGTATCAAATTACAGATGAAACAATTGTATTTTATTTTGAAGTAACAGTCAGCATCTGTTGGCCATTACTATCTACAGCTGTTCCAAATATTTTCAAACTGACACAATCCACACAGTCATTGGACACATTCTGATTAATTAGTCTGAATATTAAAACACATTTGGTTTTAATTTAACAATGAGAACCACTGCTGCTGGAAGTTGTTCTATTTGTCTATAAAACGTTCCAGATTACAGATCAGGACATTTGAGCACCGTCCTTATGAGAAAAATACAGAAATATAAGTAATACACCCGCATGGTTTAGATTTTCTCTGCTGACCAGCCTCAAGGTTAGAGGGTGTGATTTCAAGAATAAGAAAGAGTTGCAGGGAGAGGGAGGGTTGTGTATAAACAAACAAAAAATGGCATTGGTTCCTTTTGAGACATTTGATGAACAGCTTTGGTGCACACCCTCTGCTCCGCTTCACCACAACACATTCTACTCCATTCATTAACAAACACCAGACAGAGAGACAGAAGAAAAACACTTATTTCTTTGGCTGTGTATTGTAGATATGTCAGACTTCTCTCCCAAAGGTGGAGGTCAGGCTGAAATACAGGGCTTTGCAAAGAGGAGGTAGCAACTGTAGGCCATGGAAAATGGTCAAATCTGATCCTGGTTCAGGTGTGGTGAAAGATGATTGAACAGAACTGGGGATGTCTGAGGTTGAGTTATGGTCGTAGCTGAGTCTGAGGTCAGGTTGATCTGAGAACAGATAATTAAGAAAACATAAGGCTTTGTCGAGCGGGAGATACAGGTGCATTTGGTCTTTGGTTTTTGATAGTTTAAAGTGGCTGGAAACATACTTCATCCAAGGTGCTTTTGGTGATGTTTTTCGTAGCGCACTGCGTTGCTCGAGCTGGTACCTGTCAGTGAAAGACCCATCATCATGTCAGGCAGATTGGCACTTATTACTGATTTGGTCAAAGTAAAGGTTTTCAGGTAGTCTACATTACCTCACTTACCTAAGTAGTCCTTGTAGTCCTTGTAGTATTTGTGCCTCAGACCACGTCCATCTTTAATAAGGCCAAAATGGGAATACAAAATAAGAGACTCAAACCTGATCTCCATATGGTAGACATTGCACTTATGCCAACCCCTTAGCTACAGATCACAAGTTCAGGCATTGTTCTGAAAAGTCACTCCAATTTGTATAATTTAAGATCGTTTTAATAGGAAAAACGTGGCCCCTCACAGGATTCTGATGAAATTAAGATAGGGAATTAGGTATGTCAAAGGCCTGGATTCAACGCTATAACACATTGCCATTGCCAACCATTCAGCTATTTAAGTTAACAGAAGTATAGTTTAGCCGTACCTGAATTGCCACGTTGCTTGATGCACTGTCCCCGGTTTGGGATGCCTGCTGCAGGGTTTCCTTGGTTGATGATGTGGCACTCGTAACCCGTAGGACAGTGAAGAGGCTCGTCTCCATCCTCCGTTGTGCTGCAGGCCTCAGCTATTGGGCATGAAACACACCAGTGTCATTTTGTTGAATATGTGGTTAGTACATTACTTTTTTGTATTTACCTCCTTTAACCTGTCATGTCTATGTATACATTTCTCACTCAAATTGATAGCATCCAAACTCTGCAAACTTCGAAAGAATAGCCCGTTTTTTTTATATATGCGGTGTAATGTATCATATGGATTTTATTCACAGGGATCATATGAGACTTGATGTTGTAGTTCAAGAGGATAGACTCGAAAAAAGACTTTTACCTTGACATGACAGGAGAGTAAAGCTATGGTAAAATCAAACAAAAACCTATTTTGTTCCGTATTCTGTACAATGACAATAAAAGCTTTTGAATTTGAATTTGAATTTGAAGATGCATTCTAATTTTGAGAAGTTAGTTAAGAGTTTTTTAAAGTCATGCAGGTTGACCATTGAGCTACAAGTCCCAGTATAGGTGTGAGTACTCACCCTGCAGAACCTCTTCAGGCCCGTCTAACAGCCAGCCATTGCCCCCTAACCACCGAGGCTTGGGCTGCACCAGCCAGTCCAACACTGTTCAGAAAACACAGAACCACAGCCAATAAAATGCTGGTTAACATAATTTCAAACAGAGAAACAATAATGGACCAATTTCCAAGTAGATTAAGATGCAAACACTTGTATGTGTCCGCATGTGTCTTAAGGTGTTGCTGACCTGGTGGTGGCTGGACAGACTCCAAGCAGGCGTAGATGCATCCGTTGTAGCAGCAACGTTTATGGCGCTCACACTCTGAGTCTGAGCGGCAGCCCGGCACCTCACAGGCTCTCTCTGGCAGCATCTGGGGAGGCGGTGGACACCGGTCATTCTTCTGGTGCTGTGTGGACTGGGGGTGGTTGGGGTACTCGTAGTCCTGAGGGAGAGAAAATGAGACCAATGTCCATGTTTGTTAATTGTTGTTAATAATTTCTGTGAACGCCAATTGATACTAAATGTAACGTCTTATTAAGTTCTTAACTGAAACACGACTTGTAATTTTGGAATGGACATAAAGTGCACGTTTTGGCCAACAGAGAGCAGCAAGGGATCTGTGTGATCTTTTCATCTCAGCACAGCAGGGCTATAGCACTGTAGGCTTCAGTATGCATGCCTGCCTGCTAACGTCTTGACCTGGATTGGTAAGGTAATTCACTGAGGGAACAAACACATCCCTGGTGATCATGAGAGGTGGAAAGTAGGCCACAGAACCCTGAGCCAAGCAAAGACACACTTCACAAACTATGACGGCTTTGGTAACACATGCATGTGTATGCGTGTGTGCACAAACAGCAACACACACACTTTTGCACTGATCTGCTTTGTATGCTTTGCAGAGGCTAACATAATGAGATCTCTATCACAGCCACAGCCTCTGTTGTTAAACTGTTTTTCACCAAGCTGCAGCTCTTAAATGTTTCCTGCTTATTGGTTTAGACTTGTCGGGGAAATCATTTGTTGGTTTTAACACTGCTGGTATCAAATATCACATGATTTGTGCCAAAGTATAAGCCGCTATTCTTTGATCTGGTTTATGTACACATGGAAGATATTATAACAAAATTCCAAGAAACACAGCCCTCATAGACTAAACAATAACTCGTACTTTCTCACACACTGTATAGGCTGTTGTATGACACCCTACAGAGTGAGCAAGTTCATTTAACTCCTATCTTCTTACTGCTAAAATAGCAACCTACACAGCTGTTTGGTCTAAAATCCCTTTTATAACAAGGACATTTATATTATAGGCCATTTGTTGGGTGCTAGGTTGTTATCTTTGAACACTTTGCACTTCTACGGCGAAGGAAGTTATGTAGAAGTTAGTTTTGATATTTGATCCCTTTTTAAACAGTCATCATTCCAATGCTTCATATTTGATTCCTGCAGAGTTGTTTGTTATAGGAACACATGCAGTGTCAATGAAAAACAAGCACAGCCAGAGAGTTTGTGAATGTATGTCT